ACGCTTAACCGACTGAGCCACCCAGGCGCCCCCATAAAAAAAGGTGCTTTTTTTTTAATAAAAAAATGAACCCTCAACATTAATCTCTAGAGGGACCTACGCAAACATGTTGACAGCCACAGTCATCTCTGAACGGCAAGCATGATGGTCGTTTTATGTCAACTTGGCGAGGCTATGACGCCCCAGTGTTTGATCAAACGTATGTCCAGGTGCTGCTGGGAAGGTCCTTTGTAGATGTGGCTAACATTTATAATGAGTTCACTTTGGGAAGACTTACAGGAGAGTTCCCTTGAGCACAAGGGTGGGCCTCATCCAATCAGTTGAAGGCCTTAAAAGCAAAACCTGAGGTTTCCCAGAGAAGGAATTCTGCCTCAAGGCTGTGGCATTAACTGCTGAGTTTCCAGCCTGCTGGTCTGCCCTAAAAATGTCGGGCTTGCCAGCTTCCACAACTGCATGAGCCAATGCCTTAAATAAGTCTCCTAACGTATATATAAATAAAACTCCTACAAGTTCTGTTTCCCTGGAGAACGCTGACGAATGGGGTAGCAGTATAGGCAATTTTTATTTCCATCTTTTTAAAACCCTTTTCTTTTTCTACAGTGAATATGTATTTTTTCAATGTCATTAAGACAAATTTAAAAGTTTTTAAATGCCCCTGTCAAATTTCCCAAAAGGTTCATGATGCCCATTTAATTTTTTGCTGTTGTTTGTTTATTTTTGAGAGTGAGAGCGAGCGAGCATGAGTTGAGGAGGGGGAGAGAGAGAGGGAGACACAGAATCCGAAGCAGGCTCCGGGCTCTGAGCTGTCAGCACACAGCCCGACCCGGGGCTCGAACCCACGAACCGTGAGATCATGACCTGGGCCGAAGTCGGACGCTTAACCGACTGAGCCACCCGGGCGCCCCCATGATGCCCATTTAAAATTGAGGTCAGCCGTGCTCACGTTTGAGTTATATGAACCTTTCCAGAACACGGCTTTCACGTAAAACCAAGGACACCGTTCACACAGTGCAGATCAAAACCAGGAGCACAAAAATAGACGTCAGTTACCGAGTGCCTACCACGTGTGAGCTGCTGTGCTGGGAACTTCACAAACATCACCTCACTGCACCTTGGGGAAAACTCTGGAAGGCGGGGGGCAAACTCTCATTTTGCAGCCGACAGTGGCAGGACTTAGACCAGGAGGTCATGGGACCAACCTAAGGCCCCCACCGGTGGCAAAAACTTACTATGGATCGCTGTCAGCAACAAAATGTCAGCCCTTCGGAAAAAGGGAAGCAAGTTAAAGTTGCAAACACGTATATGCCCCCACTCTATACGTCTGTCTCTGGGTCTCTCCGGGGAGTCAGCCCGCCCTGTTGGCATATACACATCTATTCACGTTCACGTGCAGGGAAAGAAAGGGCTACGGAATCGCTCCCCAGGCAGAAAGACGGTGGAGGAGGGGGAGGGAGGGAGTTCGGGAACGATCGGCTTAAATGTCAGCTGTCACCCTAGTGATTCCTTCTACCACCTGGCACCCAGTAGCCCGAAGTCATTCCTCGCGGAGGCAAATCTAGCAAACGGAGAAGACATCTGGAATTTGGTTAAATGGCTCATTTCCAGAGCGCGCCGCAGCCTCGCACCATCCAGTTCTCTCTTCCCTGCTTTCCTGGAGCCCTCGCTCCTGCTCCAGGCTGGGGAGGGAGGTGGCGGGTGCTGTGGAGGCTGGGGGTGGCCAGGATGCTGCTGACTCGCCCTCTGGTCCTCCAGGCCTCGGTTTCCCCCCTTATGCATGGCAGGGTGGGGGACAGACTACGCAGATTGCTCTTCTGGACAGGACAGCCCTCCAGCCCCCAGATGAGGAACTGCTACCCCCCAAAGGCCACCAGTGTCCTGTGTGGGGAACACGCGACAGTCTCCCATCCCGTGGCCCAGGATGCTCAGAGGGAAGCCCCATAAACTCATGAGTCATCCCGAGGAAGATTCGATGATGCTCAGAGAATGTGCTACCCAAGGGGAGGTCAGGGAGGGGAGCCAGGCATTTGAGCCAAAGACTCACAGCAGTGAGGTGGGAAGCCCAAAGCAGGTGCACGGACCCTCGCTTACCCAGAAAACTCAGCTGTCAGCCCACTCGGGTCACAGGGCAGAGAGACCCCGCCTTGCTTTTAGAAACAAGGGAGTTCGCCTTCTCTCTTCAACTCTGCTACTATTCACTGAGTCCCCACTGATGCCAGGCTCCCTGCTGGGTGCCTGGGATCCACTTAACCCTCACAGCACCCAGATGGGGTAGATGCTGGGGCCTCTCCCGTTTCACAGACGAGGCGCCTGAGGCTCAAGGAAGCTGCCTTCCAGTGGCACAGAGCGATCAAATAACGGAGTGAAATGGAAGCCAGGTGTCTCTGTCTCCCAAGTCCATGCTCCTTCCAATAATAACGATGCTGTTATGATAACGAGGCGCTTATAGTAATATCAGAGTATCCCCGTTACGATTGTGGCTCCTGAATTATCAGTCGCGTGCTATCCTCCGGGAACCAGGCTGAGCGCTCCCAGGCGTGGCCTTGTTGAACACGCACATCGGCTTGCGATCTCAGGATCCCCATTTTGACAGATGAAGAAACGAGGCTCAGAGGGCTGAAACCACTCGACACAAGTCAGCTGTGCCACTTGAAGAGGCAGAGCGGATACTGGAATCTAAGTGACACGTCTCCTCCACTCTGGAGGGTATTATCGGAGGCTGTGTGCCAGGCAACGTGTAAACACTTGATATACTTAAAAAAAGTTTTAGTGTTTACTTATTTTGAGAAAGAGGGAGAGCGCACGCACACAAGCAGGGGAGGAGCAG